TTTTGTTTTATTGCATAGCTACATCATGCACTGACATAGTATGAATATTAAAGAGGTTTAAGACCTTAGATGTTTCCATTTCTTTAGAAAATAGAGATTTTATAGGGGTTATTCCACTTATTAGGTGCTATATGAAGTTTAAATAAATTACTTAATAAAAAATTAGAAATGATGCCCATCTACCATGAAAATAAGTTTACCATACATATAAATATTTTTTGGTGTGATTAGTTAATTTTAAATAAAACTAAAGAGATTAAATATTACAAATAGCATTTATCAGAAAATTCAGTATTTTCGTAGGGGTTAGCCCATATATTTCAAGAAAAATAAGAAAATATGAAAATTTTATTTTATTGCATAGCTACATCATGCACTGACATAGTATAAATATTAAAGAGGTTTAAGACCTTAGATGTTTCCATTTATTTAGAAAATAGAGATTTTATAGGGGTTATTCCACTTATTATGTGTTATATGAAGTTTAAGTAAATTACTTAATAAAAAATTAGAAATGATGCCCATCTACCATGAAAATAAGTTTACCATACATATAAAAAAGTTTTTTGTGTGATTAGTTATTTGTAAATATCAGTAAAGAGATTAAATATTATAGATAGCATATATCAGAAAATTCAATATTTCGTAGGGGTTAGCCCACATATTTCAAGAAAAATAAGAAAAAATGAAATTTTTGTTTTATTGCATAGATACATCATGCACTGACATAGTTTGAATATTAAAGAGGTTTAACACCTTAGATGTTTTCATTTCTCTAGAAAAGAGAGTTTTTTATAGAGGTTAGTCTACTTAATAGATGGTATATGAAGTTTAAATAAATTAATTAATAAAAAATTAGAAATGATGCCCATCTACCATAAAAATAAGTTTATCATACATATAAATATGTTTTGGTGTGATTAGTTAATTGTAAATAAAACTAAAGATATTAAATATTACAAATAGCATTTATCAGAAAATTCAGTATTTTCGTAAGGGGTTAGCCCACATATTTCAAGAAAAATAAGAAAATATGAAAATTTTGTTTTATTGCATAGATACATCATGCACTGACATAATATGAATATTAAAGAGGTTTAAGACCTTATTCCATGAAAAAAACAACCTATGACGGTAAAACGCAAGACCGTTCATCGTTTAGCAACGGGAGTTTCTTCTCCATGGACGAGGGAGACAATGGCTGAGTGGTTTTTGCCTTGTTGGAGTTGATGACAAGCAAGAGCCGAGCAAGAGTCGAAGAAGATCATATTGACAAGTCCATAATTCTAAATTGATGATGACTTGTCATCCAAGTATGAAAGGGTTACTTTCAAGGCTTTTAGGGCTTTTCTGAATTATAATTTATAGTTCGTAATGGTTTATCTACATCTTCATTACTATTTTTTTTTTGGATATTTATAACTTGACTTTAAACTTTAAATCCTAGTACATCAAGGAAACTACAATAGTTAAAAAAAAAAATTAAAAACGTTTGAAACAAACTCAAAACACTAAATCCTAATAGAATTTGGTAAAGTGAGAAGAAGTTAATAATGAATATATCTATATATATATATATACATATTATCTTTGTATTATGTGATTAAACAGAAAAACACAGAGAGATAGAAAAGAATGACAAGTAAAGAAGAGGAAGTGCCTAAAGATGTTATGCGTTGTGCAAAATTATTAATGGCTATGAATAGTTCAACGCCAACCGCTGAAGAGTGTAAGCAGATTCAACTATGGAAAAATATTGCTAATGCTATAAAAATTGCTGAAGACCGCAAGGTTGGTCGTTGTTTGGACGTGGGAACGAAATCGAGCGTGCCGTTTTGGCTGCATAAGTTTATGAGAAAGAATAACGGAGTCGAACCAAAGATGATCATAGAGAAGAGCCTAACTGCTACTGATGTCAAAACAAATAACGGACGTCTCTCAATGCCTTCTAGTCAAATCCTTGATGAAGATTTCGTTACTGAAGAGGAGAAAACGATCTTAGGGCTTCGCGAGGAAGGCGTGGACGCAACTATTGTTGATTGCGAGCTGCATGAATGGGAAGTGAATCTGAGAATATGGGACATGAACCGTCCTGTTTACAATTTGGTCACAGGGTGGAATCAAGTGGTGAAAGATGTTAAGCTACAAGAAAAAGATAACATTCGCCTCTGGTCTTTTCACTCTAATGACAAACTCTTCTTTGCTCTCATTCTTCTTCCGCCTTCCACTGATTAAGACAAATCTAAACCTGTGATGCTTGAGTTTTTCTTTCTTTCTTTTTTTTGTGAGTTTATTATTTCTCCTGTGTTTTGTTTTGGATTTTAGTTTTTGTTACTAATTAGTTAACAATTATCTTTTTTTTTGAAACACAGTTAATTATTATCTTCATTCACTAAATTAAATATTTAATTCTTCATTAAGATTCTTTTAGGCGCTTTCATTGAATTATTATCTTCATGCATGATTTATATATATTAAGAGCTTTTGTCTCACAACAAAGTTTGAGATTGAAATACACACTGATTTGTCCTATTTTAGTAAGTTTTTTGAAACTCAGACATCGGTTCAGTTGAATCTCGCAACCTTGTTCATAATATTCGTTGAAGTTGAATGCTGATGTACTAAACAAAAGAAAGTAATATATAGTACTTGGTTTTTTGATTGCTAATGTTTAATAATCTGACCTAATAAAATAAACATTGATGACAATCTGCTTCCTTATTTACTAGGAGATCCAGTTGTTTACTGACTCTTGGCCATGGAACCATACAAACTCAAACCCCTTCAAACCTTATAAACCCCAACATTTTTTTATACGTATTGTAATCTGATTCCTAAACATAGTTTTATACGTACGTTTGATTTGCAACTACGGAAACCTTAAAGGAGGCTAAATAAGGTCGAAGCTTCTCAAACCTAAAAGATTAGAGAATGGCATATCATGCTTATTTAGCCTCCTTTTAAGGTTTTGCCTTCAGATCCACGCCATCCTTGAAATTATTACCATTTTGCCTTATAAATTCTGAAAATCTTTGACAAAAACTGTTTGCTCTTGCTTTTCTTAACAGAATCTATCTTAATTATAAAATTTAACCACAATTTATTTATGCAGTACACAATTAACCAAAACACAGGAAAACGCAAATTGATAGGAGATTGTGTGGCTTAAGTTTTGTACAATTCCTTAAGTTTGAGTAGAGAGAATAGTTTCAAAAAAGTAGGATTAAAGAGAACCTATTCTGTAGGCTTTTAATATAATTTCAGTTCGGACCAATCCTATTCAGAAATATTCGGAAATTTTATTCGTTTCCCATAAATGATTATTAAACATACCATTTCCACATGCATGATTCATGTGATGCATGCACTGTTTCTCAAAACCTCTGAAGTTTCTTTTTCAAGCTTTTCCTAGGTCTCCTTTCTCCTGCCCTACTTCCATTATTAAAAAGTAACAAGCTTAGATCGGATAATTTTTTTATATATATAGTACCACAATAGTTATCTTTACAATAACAAAAAAGGAAAAAAGAAAGATAAAGAAGAAGAAGGTAGGAATCAAATCAAAAGAGACAGAACAAGTTAAAGAGGTTTTCAGAAGACATAGCTTCACAAGCAAAGGCAAAGCTAAAAATCATGTCTGCAACAGAAAATGTCGGACCGTTCTCACCACAACCACCATCACACGTTAAATCTCCAATACAAAAACCAATAACACCTTATAAACCTCTAACCCTATTTTTTTTTTTTTTTCTTGAGTCATATCATCTGTTTGTAATCGAAAAATGCAGATCTATTCTTCTTCTTATTCCACCAAATTAACCAACCTTCATATGATAAGATCGAGTAGCAATCCTAACCAAGGGAGACATAACTATAACTTGAAGCAGATTCTCGTTCCAAGCTCATCTCCAAACCTCTCTGTTTCAAACACTCAGCAGCTTCCTTTGAACCAAAGTGTTGCTGCCATTGTGTTCGGAGGAGGACCAGACTCTGAGCTTTATCCACTGACTAAAACAAGATCCAAAGGTGCTATTCCCATTGCAGCAAACTACAGACTAATCGATTCAGTCATCAGCAACTGCATCAACAGTGACATCACAAAGATCTATGCAATCACTCAGTTTAATTCCACTTCTCTCAATTCACATCTCACTAAAGCTTACAGTGGATTTGGACTCGGGAAAGACCGGTTCGTTGAAGTCATTGCCGCTTATCAGAGCCTTGAAGATCAAGGATGGTTTCAGGTTAGGTCAAAACAACTTAAGTCACTTAAAAATTCATTTCCTCTGTTTTTATATTTGTTACGTGGGATTGAAGTAATCTTTGTTTTTCTCTGTGTGTTACTAAAAAGGGAACTGCTGATGCGATTAGAAGGTGTTTGTGGGTATTCGAGGAGTTTCCAGTGACTGAGTTCTTGGTTCTTCCTGGACATCATCTCTATAGAATGGACTACAATACAATAATAGAAGATCATAGAAGAAGCAAAGCTGATATAACCATTGTTGGGTTAAGTTCTGTTACAGACCATGACTCTGGTTTCGGTTTAATGGAAGTTGATGCCACTAATCTCGTTACTAAATTCACTATCAATCCCCAAAAGGGTCAACAAGATTTTATCTCCGTGAGTTAGATATCTGTGTAACGTTATGTATCATTAGAATGAGCTGGAGACTAATGTTTACTAGTTGCAGGTTGAGAGTATAACAAGAAGTGATGGAACTTCTTCTTGCTGTGTTCCAAGCACAGGGATTTACGTGATAGGTAGAGAACAGATGGTGAAGCTTCTCAGAGAATGTTTGGTTAAAGCGAAAGACATGGCCAGTGAAATCATTCCTGGTGCTATCTCTCAAGGGATGAAGGTAAAGGTTATCTGAAAAAAACAAGAACCAACCATAAGCTATATTTAGGGCTGGAAATTTGAACTGAACCTAACCTAACCGAAAATTTTGGTTATTTCGGTTAATAATTCGGTTAGACGCAGTAGGTTTCTTCAAAAAGTTCGGTTTTCGGTTTGGTTCGGCAATTGATTACTTCATTGTCTAGAAAGAAAAAAAATACTATAACCAAACCATACCAAAAAGCTAACCAAGTTATAGCCTATATTTGTCTTAGACCATTGTTTTTTTATTCAGGTGAAAGCTCATATGTTTGATGGATATTGGGAAGATGTGAAGAGTGTTGGAGCTTACTATAAAGCTAACATGGAGAGCATTAAGAGGTATACACTGAGAGGGCTTGTGAGACCTAATGGACTCTAAGATGTGTACACTTGTGACTCAAGTAAAGGTTTTTCCTTCTTTTGTAGTTGCAGATTCTACGACAAACAATGTCCCCTTTACACTATGCCTCGGAGTTTGCCTCCAACATCTATGGGTGAAGCTGTAATAACCGACAGTATTATAGGAGATGGTTGCATTCTCAATGTAATTTACAAAACTCTTCTTCAAACCCTAGCAGACATTGTTGATCAAAAGCTCATGTCTTCTTTTTTTTTTGTATGTGATTTTGGGTTGATGGAACAGAAATGTGTCATCAGAGGATCAGTGGTGGGAATGAGAACAAGAATCGGAGATGACGTGGTTGTAGAAGACTCAATCATCGTTGGTTCAAACATCTATGAGGTAAACAAGGTTTCTTGGATCGGAAGCAAGAGTGATTCACTTACATTAATGTGTCTCTGAGTTGTGTGTTACAGATGGAAGAAGACGTGAGAAGAAAAGGGAACAAGATTCGAATAGGGATTGGTGAAAAGAGTCGAATAAGAAGAGCCATTGTAGATAAAAATGCAAGGATTGGTCAGAACGTTATGGTAGTAAAACATTCTAGTTAAGTACAACTGAAAATTAGTTTCCGTAGTTTTAACAATCTTTTTGATTCACAGATCATCAATAGAGACAATGTTGAAGAAGGAAACAGAGAAGCTGAAGGATATGTTATAAGAGAAGGAATCATTGTCATACTTCGAAATGCAGTGATCCCAAACAACTCCATCATCTAAATTTTTTTTTTTCTTCATAATCTGCAAAATTCATCATTATTCAATGTAAAAATAAATTCTTTTAAAGTATAATATGCAAATCTCATCATCTTTACACATCTACCAACTCCAACATGTTGCTGATTCTCACAACACTAGTACTTATATGATCTAACATCTGCTACTAATTAGATGCTCAAGCATGTCAACAACATCAACGGAACCAAAGCAGACAGACTCAGCCAAAGCATTCCACACAGAAGATTCAGGCACCATATCCTGACTAACCATTTCTTCCAACCACATCACAGCTTCATACCGATGATTCATACCACAAAGACCTTTAATCATCACATTGTAAGTTTCAACACCAGGGAAGAAATTTTTAATCAACATCTCTTCCATGACCTGACTTGCTTCTACAAATCTACCATCACCACACAAACCATCCACTAGAGTTTGATATGTTTCTTCATTAGCTACACAAGAAACATGCTTAGACATTATTTTAAGATATCCAACAGCCTCTATTGATTTCCCTTGGTTGCATAAGCCTTTTATAAGAACGTTATACACAGCAACTGTTGGTAGGCAATGACCTTCCATCATCTCCTTGTTGATAACAGAAACAGCTTCTTCAACCTTCCCTGCTTTACACAGTGCTTTCACCTTGGCACTATAGATAAAAGGTGTTGGCTCAAAGCCTTTCCTTCGCATTGCAAGAAGCACTTCTTCACCTTCAACAAGCCTACCTTCCTCGAATAGATCATTAGCCATGGCAGTATAGCTATCCAAACTAGGGATAGCACCTCTGATCAAAGTCTCTGTCAACAAACGCTTCACACGTTCTCTACCTTCACTGGTACCTTCCCAATAACCAGCTTCAATATGATTATAACATCTTTTAGGTGCCTTTAGTCCTTTTCTCAAGATCTTACCAAGAATCTCAACAGCCTCATCAACCTCTCCAGCATCACACAACGCATCCAACAGAATCCTGTAAACCACAATGTCCTCACCTGAACCTTTCTGAGAGATCCTCCAGAACATTGAATACAACAAATGCGTCGCTTCATGAAGTTTCCCTTCAAGACAAAACCCTTTCATCAAAATCCTGTAACTGTCTCTGTCCGGATAACATCCCTGGTAGTTCATCTCTTGAAAGACATGAGAAGCCAAATCAGAGCGCTTGACCTGACAAAGAACCTTCATAAGCAAATTCAAAGCCTTGATTCTAGAACTCACCTCCCAACCATAACAATACTTTCTGAATATATGACAAGCAGCTTCAAACTCCGACTCTTTAACCATCTCCTGCAAAAGAGTATCGAAAGATAAAGTCCAATTCACACAGTTGAACTCATGGAGGCTCTTGAAGAGAGAGATGGCATCTTCAAGCCTCCCAGCTCTGGAGAATGTTTTAATAACCGATGCAAAAACTGTATCTTTACACTCACAAGAATCTTCCTTCATCTTCTCTATAACATATTTCATTTCTAATATATGATTGGATTTTCCGAGAATGTTGATCATGGTGGCGTACACGGAGCCGTTGTGACCGTTGTAACTAGGGAACCTCTCTTTTACTTGGTCGAAGAGACGCAGTGCTGTTACAGGGCTCTTTTGCTTCTTTAGGATTTGAGAAAGAAGCGTTGGGGTTAACACTCTTGGCCATCTAATGCTCATGATAATGATAATAAAGCTCGAAACTTTCCTTCAACAACTGTTGAAAACTCCACACCACAACATCAAAAGGAATCAAAGTTCCTGCAAAAAGCACATCATCTCTTAGGGATAAAGATCATATCTTTCTGCAAAAATATAACTAATTTTCACTCAGGATCAAACTATTTCATCTGATTCTGCAAAACCCTAGAACAATCAGATTGAAATTGATAAACTTTCGTCTTCTTTCTACTGAATTAGCCATTGAAACAGCCTTGGAAGATGAATATGTATAAGTCAAAGTTTGAGACTTTAGGAATGACCGACAGATAGATACCTGGAGACTTCGGCTACTACAGTGACTTAGAGGGATCTTGTTGAGGTTCTGTCTGTGGAGAGAGCAAAGGATTTGGAAGAGAGAGTAACAAAAGTGTTGACTTTTTTTTGGTCGTAATCGGTAAATATTGTAGGTTTCAACTTTAACCCCATAACTTTTTATTATTTATTAAAACCCCCCTTAAACTTCAATATGTGACATTTACAATCCATAAATGTCTCTCTCTCTCTCAAACATGAGACATGATTAGCGCTAAAAGCAAAAAAGGGTTATATTCTGCTGGATGTAATTAAGGTAATTTATCAACGAAAGATTATTTTATACTTTTGTTAATAATAATACATTAACTTGTCTTTTCATTAAATCTGTAAGCAATTTATTTTATTTAACAAGATTTGTAAGTTAACCTGTTTCCAGTTTTACTAATTTAATTTGTGTGAAAATTAGATATTTACATTAGTTTGTTACCAAAAAATTAAATCAAAGAATTTGCCTAGCACAACATGCCACACAACAACCCTTATATAATAAAAGAGAAGCATTGTAATAAATGTGTTCACACCGTAACCGACACGTGTCGGTCTCACAATCATTTGACAATTAATGCGTTCACATACTATTTTTATAAATTCATTATTTAATGTGTTTATACATTATTTTTTTAATTATTTTATTTTCCCTACATTTTTAGCCCTTGTATTTATAAATTAACTTTTTCTACGTGAAACTAATAAATAATATCTTTATTGTAAAAAAATTATAAAATCATTAAGATTCGCATCAACTAAAATGTTGTGATGAAATGTTTGTAGAAATTGAAAGTTCTGTACCATGCCGAAGTTGGTCATGTTTGAGGTTTCGCTACACAATAACAACTAATAAGGTGATTGATTATGAATTAAAGAAACTGAGGTGAAAAATATCACACGTAAATTCGGATCTTTAGTTTAGTCAAATATTAACATATTTATAAATTTTTCATATCAGACCAAAAATTAGAAACAAACTCAAATTGGTAGAAAAAATCAGAATTTAGAAAAGTTTTTAAAGAAAAAAAATCACAAATTGACTAAAAACAGAACTCATGTACAAAGTGAAGATGTCATTTTGTAATATATTTTATTAGTATTGTTTACGGGTACAAATTTATTTTCTTCATATGAAAAAATATTATAAATTTCTAGGTTTGTCTTATTTTTACTTAATTTTATTTAAAATTTTACTATCATGTATTATTTTGAACAAAAATGTTTTAAATCTTAATTAACGGTATATTCATATCTTTATCATCACATTTATATACTTTTACATATATACATGTACACATTGACATGAACGACTATATAACTAAATATTCACCACAAGTGAGAATTTTAATTGTATTAAAGTTGAATTTTTTTTCAATGTTTTCTTTCACAATCGCTCGAATTGTAGTGAAATGTTTTATGTTCATAATTTTTTTTTCTTCAAATATTATTTAGATTTTATTTGATTTTACATGTCCTTAGAAATTACTATATGAAACTATTAGTTTGACATAAAAAATGTCTAAAATTTATATAAAACGAAACTAAACAAATAACAATAGTTTTTGATTATCATCAAAAAAATAAAAAACATCACATTTAAACCAAACAAACCAAAATATATATAGATTTAGAATGATAGTTATAGGAGATTAAAAAACAACTTAAAACTGAACCAATATTCATGTTAAACAGACATAATATCATTTTTATCTTAAAAGTAATAATCTCATTCCGCGTAAGGCGCGGGTTATTACCTAGTTTTATGTAATCTAGCTAGAAAGATTTTTCCACTCATAAATTTATAATGGTAATTTAGTTCAACATATTAAAACTAAATTAAGATGAATCGTTACAAAACAAGACCAGAATTGTAACTGTATAGTGTGTTACACAATTAGAACTCAGAAACGAATTTTGTTGAATCAAGTGTTTGTTTTACAACCAGCCGTTTAAAGCATAAATAATAATTCTGATAAACATTTTAAAACGAATGGTCAATCATCTCGCCAATGACAACTAATAGCATCAGCTATAATTAGCCATCGCGTTTGAAAGAAAGAACGTAGAAAATGAGGTTGTTATTATTTTAGCTGTTCATGCAGTTAACACATATATTTATAAATGAACTATAAACGTTGGGTTTAAACAATTAAACAAAAACGTTGGGTTCAGACGGAGGAGTAACCGTCGTTTTTTGGGGGATTCCGACAAGCCATCGTGAGACAAGATGACTTCGGGAGTCCCTGGCAATACGACGGAGCCTATATATAATATTGAGGAATCTCGTTATGGAAAAATTGTGTGTTACAATCAAGATCTTCTCTTTGAGAAGAGAGAACAAAAGGGTTGGGAGAGCGGTAGCACGCTCGCCTCTTCCTTGCCTTTCTTCATCACGCAGCTCTTTGTAGCCAACCTTAGCTACCGTGTCATCTACTACCTAACCCGACCTCTTTATCTTCCTCCTTTTGTAGCTCAGATCCTCGTGCGTATGCTGCTACATTTTTTTTTAATGTTTTCTTGATCTTCTAAAAAAAAAATATGATTTGTGATTTATTATTTGTTGCAGTGTGGGTTATTGTTTAGCCCAAGTGTGCTTGGGAACACGTATTTTATAGTCGAGCATGTATTCCCATACAGATTCACAATGGTTCTTGAGACATTCGCAAACTTAGCTCTTGTATACAATATTTTCCTCCTTGGTCTTGGGATGGATTTGAGGATGGTGCGGATCACTGAGATCAGACCGGTCATCATCGCCTTTGCTGGACTTTTCATTGCCTTACCTGTTGGTGTTTTCCTTTACTACCTTCCTGGAAATGGCCATCCACAAAAGATCATGTCTGGTTGTGTCTTCTGGTCCCTTGCGCTTGCATGTACCAACTTCCCTGACCTCGCTAGGATCCTTGCGGATCTCAAGCTGTTGAGGTCCGACATGGGCCGTACGGCCATGTGTGCAGCCATTATCACTGATTTGTCCACTTGGGTTCTCCTTGTTTTCGCATTTGCTTCTTTTAACAAAGCAGGTAAAAAAATTTCTTAATTAATATAACGAAAAATGTTTAGAGCAGGATTAACCATGCACGAGTTCTTAAATGATTCTTTTTTATCTGATAAAAAATTTAAAAAATGAATTAATTGCGGGCTGCCATATATCAGTGGGGCCTGCGAACGGTGCAAGAACCAAGTTAAAGTCGCCTCTTACAAAAGACACAGTTTTTATAAAAACCGTGGGATCCATCTCTTAAGAATCTATTTAAGAGCCAGGATTAATCATGCTCTTATTACCTAAAGCAAGAATTATGCTTGACAATATTTTGTTTTTCTTAAAAAGGGACATGGAACAATATGATGCCGTGGGTGATTCTCACCACTTTCATATTCGTGCTCCTTTGCATCTACGTGATCCGTCCCGGAATTACATGGATCTTCGCCAAAACCGTAAAGGCTGGTCAAGTTGGAGACACCCACGTTTGGTTCATTCTAGGAGGTGTGGTTCTTTGTGGGCTGATCACGGACGCATGTGGGGTCCACTCCATAACTGGAGCCTTCCTGTTCGGTCTCTCTATCCCGCACGACCACATCATACGTAACATGATTGAGGAGAAGCTTCATGACTTCCTCTCCGGAATACTCATGCCTCTCTTCTATATCATTTGTGGGTTACGAGCTGATATTGGTTACATGTTCAAGTTCACTGACAAGTTCATTATGGTTTTAGTCATTTGCTCTTCCTTCTTAATAAAGATTGTGACCACTGTGGCCGTCTCTTTATTCATGAAAATGCCTACTCGTGACGCTCTTGCTATCGGAGCTCTTATGAATACCAAAGGAACCTTATCACTTGTCGTCCTTAATGCTGGTCGTGATACCAAGGTATTAATCATAACCATCAACTTATTTTGTTGCACATTGTGGCACTATGCTACTTATTGGGTCTACAAAAAAGATATGAATGATAGAGTACTAGTATATTATAATATTTTATCGTTTACTATAGTACCTTGAAACATAGTCTAATTTTTTTTGTTAAAATTGTTAGGCACTGGATAGTCCAATGTACACTCATATGACAGTCGCACTTCTAGTAATGTCACTAGTGGTCGAGCCACTTCTCGCAGTTGCATACAAGCCCAAGAAAAGACTGGTTCACTACAAGCATCGTACGGTCCAGAAGATCAAAGGAGAAACCGAGTTTCGCGTCTTAGCTTGCGTCCATATTCTCCCAAACGTCTCTGGAGTCACCAACCTCTTACAAGTCTCAAACCCCACCAAACAATCACCTCTCAATGTCTTTGCCATTCACCTCGTGGAGCTCACTGGTCGAACCACTGCCTCATTACTAATCATGAACGATGAAAACAAACCTAAAGCTAACTTCTCGGACAGAGTCAGAGCAGAGTCAGACCAAATAGCCGAGAGCTTCGAAGCTATGGAAGTGAACAACGACGCCATGACGGTTCAGACCATCACCGCGGTTTCTCCTTACACGACAATGCACGAAGACATATGCGCTTTGGCCGAGGACAAGCGAGTTTGTTTCATCATATTGCCTTACCACAAACACTTGACACCAGACGGTCGGATGGGAGAAGGAAACTCCTCCCACGCCGACATTAACCAAAACGTTTTGATCCATGCGCCTTGCTCGGTCGGGATTTTAGTCGACCGTGGTATGGCCATGGTCAGACAAGAGTCGTTCCATGGCGAACCCACGAAGAGAGGAGTTGCAATGCTCTTCGTGGGAGGTCCAGACGACCGGGAAGCGTTATCATACGCATGGAGGATGGTAGGACAACATCTGATCAATCTCACAGTTGTAAGATTCGTCCCGGGACGCGAAGCTCTCGTCTCGGCCGGGAAAGTTGCGGCCGAGTACGAGAGGGAGAAACAAGTAGACGACGAGTGTATCTATGAGTTTAACTTCAAGACTATGAACGACTCTTCGGTGAAATATATCGAAAAAGTGGTTAATGATGGTCAAGACACGATATCTACCATCAGAGAAATGGAAGACAATAACTCGTATGATCTTTACGTTGTTGGAAGAGGATACAACTCAGATTCTCCAGTGACTGCCGGTTTAAATGATTGGAGCAGTAGTCCTGAGCTAGGCACAATAGGGGACACATTAGCTTCGTCTAATTTCACAATGCATGCTTCGGTTTTAGTCATTCAACAATACTCAGCCGTTAACAGACAAGCCGCAGCAGCAGCAGCTGCAACAACCGGTCTTGGAGCGATCGCTGGAAGTGTTGGTCACAATCAAGAAGGCATTGGAAGTATGCCAAAGGCGACTCATGATGATGAGCCATTTATGAAGACTATGTACCAAGATGATGAGGATGATGAAGAAGAGGAGCACCACCACTATGGAATTCACAGGTAATGAGAGTTGTATTATACATATATGCTCTCTGAATTTATGTTTTTTTCTATGCAATTAGCCAGAACGAATGTGAAGGATCTTGAAAATGTATTTGTGAGAAAATTTCTCATTGTGAAACGATACTCTCGAAAAAAATGTTTTTTGTTCATTCCGTTATATTATATTCTTTCCCTCGGATATAGTTGTGTCATCAGTTCAATGTATATTTGCTCTTTACGATTTTTTTTTTGTTTGTAAAGATGTATATTGACGATTTATTAATGTATATATATGACCTTCCACGTGGTAGAACTTAGAAAGTTAGAATACCAGAAAAGTATTTTGAGAAATAACAAAATATTTTCTAAAGGACTAGCTCAATTCAAACTAAACAGAATACCAAAGCAGTATGAAAATTATTAAAAGGAAAAGAGTATTTCATCGTCCTATAGTTAATATATCTTCATTTTTTAATTTTCTATTTGTTCATTTCTAAACAAAAAAATACTATATTTTAGTTTAACCATCTCATAGTTTACTTATCCTTAGAGTACTCAACATTCCCTTATTAGATTACAGTTCAAAAAATTCGGGATTTGTTTATACTTTTTGTCTCTTCTGGTTTGTGTTTATGGTAAAAAGTAGAAGTTGGATATTTTAAAAATCTCGTATAATACACAAATATTCTGCGTATATACAAAATAAATTTCTCAAAGATGGTAGGTGTGCATATGTTAAGTTGCTAAATCACGATAAATCTGCTAATTAAGAAGACTTTCTCTTCTTTCTATCTTTAGATTTACCAAGACTAAGACCACTTTAAGTCTTTAACCATAATCCATCAATCTTTCCTAAAAGATCTCTTCTTACCAAAACCTTTTCTTTCTTAGAGATATTTTCTGCGTTTTCATATTTTTAGGCCTTAAGGTAACATTAAAAGAGGTTAAAGAGAGAGAACTTCCACAAAATACAAAAGGTGAGTGATCTCGAAACCCTATGTTTGATTATTAGACTCGAACTATACATATGCAGTTTCCGTTAATCCGCAAAGACCTTTTCGCCTCTATCTATGCATATGTTTGGTTTTGTCACCACAAACATGCCTTATTTTTGTCTCTAGCTAAATATTTTATTATACATTCAAAATTCAGGGAATAAACTAAAGTTTCCTCTCGAAAAATCAACTTAAAAGGATCTATAAGTTCACAAAAGAAGAAAAAGAATCCCTTGTGCATGTTTTTTACTCCGATCTCTTGTCACTTTGTTGTCTGAAAAGCAGATAACTGAAACTACTCGAGAGTTTTTTTCATTTTGTTTAAAATCTAAGTACCTTTGGCTTATACAAGTTATTTTGCAAAAGAGAGATGGAAAGTAACATCGGTGGAGCAGGAGAAGTAAGAAGAGTGAAACTAGTTTATTTCCTTAGCAGCCGTTCTGGTCAAGTTGACCAACCTCATCTCTTGTCCGTTAATCATCTCTCCCGTAATGGTGTCTTTCTTAGAGGTTAATGATTAATCTTTCTTCTCTTTATCTCTATTATCTATATCAATCTCATCTCAAATTTGTGTTACAAACGCAGATGTGAAGCAATGGTTAGCGGGTGTACGAGGGAGTGCGGTGCCAGACCAATATTGTTGGTCATGTAAAAGGTAAATTAATATTGAATTTTCACAATTTCCTATCAATAATTACGACATTTTATCGATTTATATATGTAACAGGAGGTATAAGAATGGATATGTGTGGCAAGATTTATTGGATGAAGATCTGATAACTCCCATCTCAGATAACGAATACGTCCTCAAAGGATCTGAGATTCTTCTAAAGGGTATGTCATGTAATTATCGGTACTTTCCACTAACTGAGGTTAATTTAGGGTTAGTTTTTTTTTTAAAAAACAGAGACGGAAAAGAAAGCGTGGAAGTCAAGAAACGATTGTGCCGCTAAATTAGCGTTAGGGTTGATCCAAAAAGAGTCTCCTGTCTTCTGCTCTCAAAGATCAACGGCGACAACGTCGACAGTTACCGATGAATCCACCACGAACGAAGAAGAAAAAGTCGTCAACGTTCTTAAAAAACAAGTATCCGGCGAAAGAGACGGTTCGAGGAAAAACGGGTCGGGTCGACCTAGTGTATCTTCGACGACGTCGTCTTCGAGTTTTAGTAAGAGTAAGAACTATTCGAGCGCGCGTGCCTCGCAAGTGTTAAGGAACTTGATAAAGTGCGGTGGTTTGGACACGAACGATGTCGTTTTAATGCCTTTGAATAAGTCTGCGTCTAAGGGTTTTGGTGCGGCTTGGGAAGATGAACACAGGTTTCAATACCAGCAGCACAATGCTCGGTACGCTCCAAAGTATACTAATCAGTTAATTAATTAGTGAATTATTTTTTAAATCTTTAAATTCGTTACTTTTTAGCTGTTAATACTGCATATGATTGGGACTAATCTTTGGTGTATATATTTAACTAGAAATCGTTACTTTTTTAGCTGAGTGGTTCTCATATCATTGGCGCTCTCAAGCTATGATTATATAATATACTTTTATATTATTAGTAGATAATTATGTCAAATTGGAAACATGTTTTTCTTTGGTTATAGAAAAAGCTTTGAAGGGGCGTGGAATGCGATAAAGATGAAAGACACAATTGAATTGTGCAAATCAAGCAAACCTTCTATGGCTCCACTATGCTCGTAAGCCTCACTATATTCATCACTTAATGATATTGTTTTTTTGTTTGTTTGTTTTGAATGAACACTTGATGATATAGGCAATGTGGGAAGTCATTCAAACCCGAGAAGATGCATTCACACATGAAGTTGTGTCTAAGGATGAAGAGTTCATCGGCCAAGAATGATTTGATGTCGGGAAATAATACCGTTAAATTAAGGCAGGAACGGTGCAAAACCATTCCGGCAAATCCATCAAGACATCAACATGTAATGAGGACTTTTCTCAAAGACTGATGATGCTTACTTCTGGATCAATTTCAGTTTGATGAAGCGAACAACTTGTTTGTATATCTTGAGGTCTTTGGTTATAAAGTGGGTTTGGGTAATCTAACTGAAGGTTTTAGTAGCTAACTGATCATAAATTCATAATTTGAACACTTATGTCTAAATGACTCATTATTTGATAAAACGCAAATAAAATTTTAAATCACGTTTTAAACCTTATATATACGGTTATATATATCTTACGTACGCATGTGCGTCAGTGCATGCATGTTAGTTAATTTTATTGATACATTAGGTTGAGAATGATGCAGATGCCGTAACTAAATAATACAAGATATTTGTCGTTTTATATTGGAAGATAAAATCTTGAATTTTAATTTTGTCTCTTAGTACATATCATTTTGTGTATATATTATTTAACCAAAAAAAACTTCACGTCTGCTTTGACCAGATAAGATTGAAAGTTCTAATGGATATTACATCTATTAATTTATTGGGTTACTTCGATGATCTTGCCTCTGGTCAAATAAGGCTCTCTATTGTCTCGAGCCCTATTTAAACATGCGTCTTTGCCTGATAAAAACTCAAAATAACTCATCGATCCACCTCAAGTGAAGAGCAACAAGAACAACAACAGCAACAGCAAAAGTCAACGGAGCAATATATATACAGTTCTTGTAACTCTTAATATCATTATTAATGGAAGGAAGCTTGGAAGGTATGCTAATGAAAGTGAGCATTTTTGCTCTGGTTCAGGCTCTTGTGTATCTCATACTCTCTAAATCTTCAAGTGTTTTCTCTAAATCAAAGACGATGAAAAGAGGTTATAGTTTTCGGTCAGCGAGATCCATGAGCATCAGCCGTATTCTAGCGGTTCTTCAGGATATGCCTGCAGGTGGTGAGATGTCTCCTTCTTCCATGGGATATTCTTCTCTTGCTTCTCCTCTATCATCACCACTGGAAAGCTAAACCACAAATTGTATATGATTCAATAGTTTTGAGTGAATACTGTGGATGAGATTGTTTTTCTTGTTGAATAACGTTCAAATTCATTTCTTTATAAAATTTATTTGTAATTTAATCTCCAATTTGATTCATGAATTTTTAAAGAAAACAAGACAATGACGTTAGACCGTGTTAAACAAGAGAAACAAAACGTCAGCATGTTAGTTAAGCCTTTGTCACCAAATATTCATTCATATCTATAGGAACTGATTATAGATATGAATTATTGGTTTATTTTGCCAACCAGAAAAATGATGAAAGTTTATCTATAGTTGGTACTTCTTTACAGAAAGCTACTTGTATAAGTACAAAAATGATAATAGAGAATACACTACTACTGGAAATATCTTGTGGGAATAAAAAGTGTGCATTTATTCTTTAGTTTAATTAACAAAAAGAAGAAAATGTGTGCATTAGGGAGAATAATACCTCACACCTATCACAGTTATTGAATAATGACTAGGGAGAATAAAAGTTCTATAGTCGTCATGATCATTATAATCTTAATATATGATCTTCTTTTTTTAACACCTTTCTTAATATATGATCATATATAGATAAACACTCTAAACCTTGTACAGAAAATTTGGAAATAAAGAAAATTAAGTTTGATGATACCAGAGTTCCAACAGACACACTTTGCTCAAAATTGTTGTGTCATTGATACATCACATCTCACAATAATTTTTTCATAAAACATAATTAATAATAATAATTGATCTAATAATAGTATAATCCATGAGTCCATTAAATAAAGTTCTTATCCCCTATATATTAATGTTAATCCAAGAGAATACAAAACTGTGACATAATCATTTTCTTGGACGTAATGTAATTCATTTGACTTTTCGAACAATACTGTTACACATTAAAAACTAAAATATAATAAAGGAAAGCGACTCAGCGGCTTCCATAAATAAAAAAGAGACGCTATCAAGTAATAATGACGTGGCAAATTATTATTGGATGGAATGAAAGGCTGCAAAAAAGGAAAGGTCTACCTATATGGAAATTTGGCGCCTGACTTGAAGCCGTTGCTTTCCTCTCCTCCGGCGTTTTCTCTCTCTCTCCCCTCTCTAGTCGCCGGGAGACCCTTTTAACCGGCGAAATAAAGCTGATGGCTTTGACTACTTTCCGTCGATAGCTTGCTTGAGTATTTGGTCCTCTGTTTCTTCCTCTGTTTCTCGTCAGGTGATTGATCAGCTAGGTCTTTTTCACTATTTTCGATTTTGATTTTTTTTTATTTGGTTTGTGGGTTTCACTTATCCGATTTCTAGGGTTTCAAAAAGTTCATACTTTCACTGTTTTTGACTTGACTTTTTAGAGTGAGACCTTATGATACATCTTCTAGGTCGTCTCTGTTCTTTAGCTTTCTGTTTACTGTCTTTGATTGTTGTGAGCTTCATAAAGTTGAAAACTTTATGTTTTCTAGAATCAGAAAAATCTTCTTCAGTGTTTTGGCTAATGGTAGTTGAAAATTCGTGATAAAGGTTTGTGCTTTACATCGTCTGCAGCTTTTAATTTCTTTTTCAAAAAAAGAAGACAACTTGTCTCGTTTATTGCGTGGTGTATAGTGGATTAAAGCTTTTGCAAAGATGAATCAAAAGTTTACTTACCGGTTGAAGTAACATCTTACTATTTAGGATATTTAATTCGGTTCCTAACCTTGTCTTTTTCTTTTTTTTTCTTTTTATTGCTCATGTTTTGTGTGTTTTCATTAGCTCAGACTGATTGTCGGAAGAGTTAGAAGATGTCTCAAAGAAGGGAGACTGGTCCGTCTCGGCCGTACAGGCCGATTCAACGGACTCAGACGCTTGGTAGTCTTGGAGAGGCTATGCTTGATAGTGAAGTGGTGCCATCTTCTTTAGTGGAGATTGCTCCCATTCTTCGTGTGGCTAATGAAGTTGAAGCTAGTAACCCACGTGTTGCTTACCTATGTGAGTTTGCTTGGTTGTGATTAACGAAACTTCACTACTTATCTTCGATAAGAGAATTGTGGATTGATGATGTTACCATGCCAGGTCGTTTTTACGCGTTTGAGAAGGCGCATAGGCTTGATCCGACATCAAGTGGACGTGGTGTTCGGCAGTTTAAGACTGCGCTTCTTCAACGATTAGAAAGGGTGAGTGAGTGTCATCACTATGGTTCACTAACATGTTTGTGTTAAGTGTGTTAAGCTCATGCTGTTAATGTTTTTTGATTTACTACTATTCCAGGAGAATGAAACAACTTTGGCAGGAAGGGCAAAGAGTGATGCGCGTGAAATGCAGAGCTTTTATCAGCACTACTACAAGAAATACATCCAGGCTTTGCTAAATGCTGCTGATAAAGCTGACCGGTTTGTGTTTTGACGAAATAAAAAACCTCTTCAAATTTGAGGTTTTCTTTACAACTTTACCTTCTAACTGTGTTTTCCATTCATACTTTTACCGCTAGTGCTCAACTTACAAAGGCCTACCAAACTGCTGCCGTTCTCTTTGAAGTCTTGAAGGCTGTTAATCAGACAGAAGATGTGCCAGTGCCTATACAGGTGAATCTGATAGTAGATATTATGCTATGTCGTATTGTTCTTCTTGATACTCTTGTGATATGGATTATCAACATTTTTTTTTCTGATCATCTTTTCTTCTGCTGTAGATTTTGCAACAACACAATAAGGTGGAAGAGAAGACACAGATTTACAAGCCTTACAATATACTTCCTCTTGACCCTGATAGTCAGAATCAGGCTATAATGAGATTGCCTGAGGTTTATCCATCTGCTTAGCTTACTGTTCTTTCTTAATTGTTGTTCAATCTAATCAGTCTTTTTGAAAATTATGTTCTGCAGATACAAGCTGCTGTAACTGCTCTTAGAAATATAAGGGGATTACCATGGAAAGCAGGTCACAAGAAGAAAATCGACGAAGACATTCTAGACTGGCTTCAGTCTATGTTTGGTTTCCAGGTGATGTTAGAGAATATACTCTGCTTTTAATTTTTCGACTTGAAAGTTTTGTCCTTCTAATTATTATTTTATCATTTTAATTACAGGAAGATAATGTTTCGAATCAAAGAGAGCACTTGATCTTGTTGCTTGCTAATGTCCACATACGACAATATCCAAGACCAGAACAAGAACCAAAGGTATACATTTTGTTGGACTTGGGAATGTGATGCTATCCTTTTTTGCTCTTTGTCTAGGCCTTTGTGATTGACACTAAGTGATTGTGTACAATGACTTCTCTAGTTGGATGATCGGGCCTTGACCATAGTGATGAAGAAACTTTTCAGAAACTATAAAAAGTGGTGCAAGTATTTGGGTCGGAAAAGTAGCCTTTGGTGAGATTCCATACTTTACTAACTTACCAATATGTAAGTAAGATTATAATACTTTCTATCTTATTATCCTCTTGTTGGCATTTGAAGGTTGCCGACTATTCAACAAGAGGTACAACAGCGTAAAATGCTCTACATGGGGCTTTATCTTTTGATTTGGGGAGAGGCAGCAAACCTGAGATTCATGCCAGAATGCCTCTGTTATATATACCACCATGTATGGATCCAGTTTAGTCTGTCAGAGTTCTGATTATTTTTGAAGAGGAATATCATTTTCCTAGCTGTTTAAGTTTAATTTTGATTTTTTTTGTTGGGTATATATTCAGATGGCTTTCGAGTTGTATGGTATGTTGGCTGGTAGTGTTAGTCCATTGACAGGGGAGCATGTAAAGCCAGCTTATGGTGGTGACGATGAAGCTTTCCTACAGAAAGTAGTGACTCCTATATACAATACAATAGCAAAGGTTAGTTGGTTCAACTATTCTATCTGTGGCCATCTTTTCTTATTGAGCCTTCCTTCAATCTAGATCTTTGTGAATTACAGGAAGCAAAGAGAAGTAGAGATGGAAAGTCAAAGCATTCTGTTTGGAGAAACTATGATGACTTGAACGAGTATTTTTGGTAAATGCTGATGATCATCTTATAACCTATTTGGAATCTCATGCTATCCTTCAGAATTCATGGTGGTCTAAATTCCTTGTCCCTGTAATTTTGCAGGTCAGTTCGATGTTTTCGGTTAGGGTGGCCTATGCGAGCTGATGCTGATTTCTTTTGTCAGACAGCTGAAGAACTTCGAGTTGAGAACAGCGAGGTATGACTGTAATAGAGACTGAATAATGTCCACAATATTTTCCTGCTCATGTTAACAAATTTTTGTTACATCATTTGCCTCAAGTTTATTGATTGATTTATGTTGACAATACTGCAGATAAAATCGAATAGTGGAGATCGGTGGATGGGCAAAGTCAATTTTGTTGAGATACGCTCCTTCTGGCATATATTTAGAAGCTTTGATAGAATGTGGAGTTTCTACATCCTGTGTTTGCAGGTACCAATATATTGTATTTAAGTGTGTTTATCTTCGAAATACATTTTTATTTTCATCACCTGTTGTGTTATTTGATGGATCATTTCTTGTTAAGGCAATGATTGTTATTGCATGGAATGGATCCGGAGAGTTGAGTGGCATCTTTCAGGGTGATGTCTTCCTAAAGGTTTTGAGCATTTTCATTACAGCAGCTGTACTAAAGCTTGCACAAGGTGATGATGCATTACGCAGTTGCAAAATTTTCTGTTGTTTCCTTCCAGTTTTTCTGACTGTTTGTCATAATATTTCAGCTCTCCTTGACATAGCACTCAGCTGGAAGGCCAGACATAGCATGTCACCCTATGTGAAACTCAGATACGTCTTGAAGGCTGGTGCGGCTGCAGGATGGGTTATAGTCATGCCAGTTGCTTACGCCTACAGCTGGAAAAACGCTTCTGGCTTTGCGCTGACCATAAAGAATTGGTTTGGTGGACACAGCAATAACTCACCTTCCCTTTTCATAGTGGCGATTCTTATCTACTTATCCCCGAACATGCTTTCTGCGTTGCTGTTTCTGTTTCCATTCATTCGACGTTATCTTGAAAGATCTGACTTTAAGATAATGATGCTGATGATGTGGTGGTCTCAGGTAAGACTTATTATCTTGATTAAATGGTTGTTAATGAAATGTTGAACCGTAAAAGTGGACTTATCATGGTTGTTGGTGATACAGCCTCGGCTGTACATTGGAAGGGGTATGCATGAGAGCGCTTTGTCACTTTTCAAGTAAGGATTCTAAAAACATTATACCCTCAGGCTGAAATAGTGAAATGTTGGTTGGTATCTCAACACTGCTTAATGATTACTAGGTACACGATGTTCTGGATTGTTCTTCTGATTTCAAAGCTAGCATTCAGTTTTTACGCTGAGGTATTATCACATTTTTCTTGTA